CGAGCAAGTCGGACGCGATCCTCGCGTGAGATGTTTGGTTAGTGTCTGCCCAACAGACACCTGTGGGAGCACCTGTGTTCCTCCCGACAACCGCGCTCAAGCGGAACGTGGTGTCGTCCTCCGAGTGCGAATGCGATGTGATGGATAGAAGACGGCATGACCAAAACCGATGTAACCGATGGCCGCATAGCATAGTGCAAAGCGCGCACTATACCAGCGGTCTTGATAGGGCGTGGAGCGGAGGATACGCAGCGAGATCATTGCACGTCAACAAGGAGGTTGCGCTCCAGGATGAACTTGCCCTCCTTGTATCTCTGCGATGACTCGTAAGCTCGGTCCTACGTAAGGCATCGACGTCGTAAGCAAAGAGTCAAAGAACGCATGAGCGCACGCACGTATTTCCAGCCTAATGTTTGCCCGCATTTGCAGCAGTAGATATCTCTGACAGTGTGGTTGCCTGTCGTCATTACCCTGTCGTTAGGCTCGCCTTCGATCACGTTCACGCTGCGACAGTCCAGTTCAGTAAGGAGACGGTCCATGATATCAGTAACTGAACTTACACGCCGTCGAAGAGGTACGCTCGGCCATGCTGGCCGTTGAATGCCTAGGGAAAGGTAGCATTGTCAATATGAAAGGCAGAAAGACATCGATGCATTCCTCACTCGAGAAATCATTGAGTGGATAGTGGCAAGATGGGTCTTGCAATTCGAACACCCGTAGATGCGGGCGCCGTTCAGATAGCGACGGTAGCTCATACCCATGTTGGAAGACGAGAACTGGACAGTGTGTGTGTTCGGGTGAGTAGGGAGGGGGCGAGAGCACGAGGAGCAGAGGCGTTGGGACTCGGAAGGGGCTTTATATGCGCACAACGTGTGAAGAGGTGACTCTGACTAGAACAGAAGAGCGTGGGCCGAGAGTCAGGAATATATGCGCAATATCCCGGGTATCCGCCCTGGCTACACCCCTTTCAGCCGTTTGGCTTATCCTACCGCAGGTGGTCCGGCCCAAGTCACTCTATCATGCGGCGCCTGCGGGCTTACCGCCGCAAGTGCGCCCGCGCCAGCCGGCTCTCGCGCTCGGCCTGCACTCGATCCTCTCCTGCGCTGCGAGTCGCTTTCTGCTCATCCCAGCCCATTCCATACCCGGTCCCGACGATCTTGTCAGGTCTGCTCGACGTATTCAGTCCGGCGCCATAACTTGACGAGCCCGTGACGGCGCGTATCTGGTTTCACCTTGACTCCGCAAGTGAAGCACCTGGCCGACGGGCGGAATTGCGCGACCGAGCTGACAAGTTGGACCGGCGTGCTTACCCACCGGTCTGAATACTTCTTTCTCCTCGTTCCATTGTGCGACGCTCCAGTACATTCCACTGTTCTCTCCCATCGCTCACTGATCACTAACGGCGCACTAACGCCTCTGAGCGTACCGCATATTTCTCATCCGTTGAATGGCGGGCCGCCCCATCATGGAGGAAAAGTCCATCTCTGACAGTATCCACACACACCAGCTTCTCAATGTCGTAGCTCTACGCACAATACAGGACAACCCAGTCCATCGATATCGTGGTCATTTTGTGGATTCAGGAGCCTCGAACTACACCTGTCATCTCAACCGAATCGCGCAGGCAGCCGGGTATGATTGGTTCTAATGGTGAGTGTCATTAAAAGTTCGGCTAGCAGGCAAAACCAACGATACACGGGGATCCGACGATGATGTTACATGTACATGCAATCGGGTGGTCTCAACTTGTGAGTGCGAGAATCGTTCATTCGCGTTCCATCAGCTAAATTAGGTCGCCATGCTTTACCCATGCTACGCGAGTACTTCTGGGAAAGCATACGGCCAAAATTAGATGGTTAGATGACATGCAGCTGCTGAGCCATCGTCTCTATCGATGGCCTATGTCTGAGCGAGCTATTGAGTCGATAGACACCAAGTGCACGCGCGCGCTGTTTGTGCTGGTCCGAACGAGTCTTGCTGTCAAAGCCGCGCATGTACGATATTTATCGCGAGAACCCCCAGGCAATAATAATCGGAGATCGGGCATTTCGTCATGCGGTGATTTTGATGTTGCAGTGTCGTCGTGGCTCGTGAACTTCAGAATATTGTACAACTTCTTTAACCTGGAGACGCCGATGTCATTATATCATGTGGCCCTGAAATATAGTTGGGATTTCGACACGAATGTGTGAGTGGGTTTGACAGCAGCTTCAAGTTACGGTCGAGTAGGAGTCCAGGATTGAATCAGCTCAGTCAATTTAGGGCTTGCACTTCATTGCTCTGGGATCCGGGTGGCGTGGGATGCACGCCACAGATGTCACGTGCTATGTTAATCTCATTCCTCGTCTGAAATCTCGCGGCGGGCTTGAAGGCATCCGGAGAGTTCACCTCGTTCTCTGCTCCGGAAGGCTTGCTGTATCTTTCACGCTTATACCCTTTTGACTCATACAGAAGTGTGCACGGCACTGGAATCACGTACATATAGCCGACACGCAGCCTGGGCTTCTCGATGAACGCTCGCAAGAGACAAGCCACGGACACTCTTCTTCCACTACGCTCCGCTAAACAACCTAGACTCACCAGATTCCACCCTCTGGGTGAGGTCAGCACCCCTACACACAACGAAGGCCTCTCTGCGCGGTGGATGAGGCTAGGAGTGGAGATGTACAACCTCGCGCGCGACACGCTGTTCCACTGGGTGGATGGTGGTGAGTGTGGCAGTGATCAGGTGGAGGTTCTTACCACACAACACGTCTTTCCAGCATCCAACAGTAAAACATTACCTACTACTGTTGCAGGACCCTCTCAATCGCACTCCCCATCTCCATCCATACCACCTCGCCCGTCGGCACCGCTCCCTCCTCGTCGCACTACCCGTCAACCCATTCCCCCACAATTTCAACAATTCGCTTGTCCTTCAAATGCCTCTCAACATCCGTCACAACGCAAGGTATCACTTCGTGATCCTCCACGGTCCGGGCCCTCGGACGCCGCGCATCCTGCAGCCTCGTCATCGGCCACTCAAAGGCTACCGCCGGCGTCGCGAGCGCGACGGAAGTCTGAACCAAGTAACGTCAAGTCAAACCTAGACCCACACCCCCAACCAAATGGTGTCATTGCACATGCCTTACCGCCACATACAACGCCTCCGCGTCAACAGCCACAGATCAATCCTGATTTATTGGAATTCCAGGATATGCTGCTGAGGAAGACGTATGTTGTTCGGGACCATATTCTAAAGGATCGCGTCAGTCGTTTCTCTCGTATACACCTTAGCTCACCATTCACGGTACCGTGTCGTGTAGCATAAGGCGCGGGTGAAGGAAATCCGAAAAAAGGACCAGGAGGAAATGGAGAATGAGTTATTTGAGATCAGGCGTTCAAAAGGTAGTTGTCATGGAACATCGTGTAAACATCCGGCTTACAGGACGCTTTAGGATTCACTTCTGATAGGGAGTCCTTCCGAAGTATGTGTGGAATGCTTGCATATGTGATATAATAATCTACTAACGCCTGAGCTCTAGCTCTATTAAACTATCAAGCTCATCTGGAGAATGTGTCACAACGGCCGCTTCTGCCCTGTAAGTTCTATGCTTCGTCGTTCCGACATCGCTCATGCTGAATTTTGGCATAAGCATCGCCGTCGCTTGTTGATCTGCACTCCAAACCGCCTTCACCACCTTCTCACTGGAGACACTCATACCCCGAACATGTTTGTGATATATGGCTATGGGTGGATCTCGTGCTAAATATTCCTTTAGGGCTTCCTGCAACGAGCACTGGAAAAGGCTAGAGCCAGTCTTGCAGAGTGGGTCTTCCTCAGTACTTATGTTGACCAGCGCGCCCTGACGTTCACTAGGCCCAAGCCTCCCAAACCGTATGTACCAGCGCTTGAACAGCTAGAAGCCGACAAGCGTAGATGGGACGAGCGGATCAACCGTCGCATTCGTCCTCCATTACCGGCTCATCTTCCTCCAGAAGATGAGAAAGTTGTTAACGCCCTTATGTCGAGGAAAGGTGTCATAGCCAAATGTGCTAGAGAACAGGTCACAGATCAAGACCTCTTGCGACTGAGACCAAACAAGTGGCTGAATGATGAGATTATCAACTTCTATGGGCAACTCATCATGGATCGCGCTGAGAGTCTGAAAGAAAATACGCCCGTGAATGGGCGGAAGAAGCCCCTTAAGGTCCATTACTTCAACACTTTCTTCTGGTCAAAGCTTCAAGGAGAAGGGTACGACAAAGCTCGATTAGCGAAGTGGACTAAGAAAGTGGGTATCGTCTGAATGTGTTTCCCGTATAAATCACTAAAATACTCGTAGATCGACATCTTCCAGAAGGACGTTGTTTTGATACCAATAAATCATGCTAACTCGCACTGGACTGCCGCTGCTATCAATTTTCGCAAAAAACGGATAGAATCGCACGATAGCATGGGAGCGCGACATGAAAAGGTTTTCAAGGTGTGTAATTATTCTCAGTCGGCATTGAGCTGCATTGTGAAGAGGCGGCGATGCAGTATCTACGCAGTTATCTTGACGCTGAGCATCGGAATAAGAAGAAAAAGCCGTTTGACTTCACGGGATGGGAAGACTATGTCATGGAGGTTCGTGGGCATTGTTGTTTCTACTTTACAAGTATCAAACTGGTGGTTTAGGACTGTCCACTTCAAGAGAATGGCTTCGATTGCGGTGTTTTCACTTGCCAATTTCTGGAGGCCTTGTCTAGAGGCGAGGAAACTTTCCGCTTCATTCAGGCTGATATGCCATACTTGCGGAGACGGATGGTATGGGAGATAGGGCACAGCAAGCTTCGAACTGATTCATAGCAGCTCGTCCGCACGAGATTAGGCGAGTTTACGATATATTATACTAATGTCTCACTGGGGTTCTCTACAATATACTGTCGACGAGGGACAGAAGCTCATTCTGTTTCCCCGCAAACTTGCGTTGGTTACTATAGTCCAGACTTGTTAGGATGGCTTGCTGGTACGAAGCGTGTCTGCTCCTGCGCGAGCTGTTACAAACAATTTACGGGCACAATCATCCGCGTCAACTGTAATGAGCTTGATCGAGTTCCTCTGGCAGCTGTTCAGGCGGTCGATGTTCAGGCAATGGCGCACAATGAGCAAGGTACTTGTCATCGTCGAAACCACCAGACAATAATAAAGAACCAGAAAACAATAATAAGAAACACGATATACCACAGCCACCGACAGCCTTGCCGCGCTGCCATGTTGTTCATGCGTCGGAACGTCCCCGCAAGAATGCCAGACGTCTCCGAGAATGCGTCGTTCTGAGTGCCAAGTGAGTCCCCGGTGTTGCGCTATCTAGACAATTGATATACTCACCATCTGTCTGAGCTGCACAGTCGACTCCCGCACTTCGTTTCCTATCCCAATGGTGATCTAGCATGCGCCGTAACGAGACCGTTCAACAAGGCTCGTTAGCGGGACACGTGTCCAGGCAACTCACTCACATCCTTCAGTAGCTTCACTTTCGCAGTGAGGCCCTCGAGGTGCTCGTCATTCTGGCCCTCAAGATCGTCTGCGAAACGCTGGCCGCTAGGTTGAAGCTGGAAGGGCGACGAGCGCCCTGAGGACGGGGGAGTGGTGTACTCTGGGAGTAGGGCCGAGCGATCTCGCAGCGAAGCCGTTGCCCTAAAGCTGAAATCCACAGATTCAGACTTTGAGTGCATTAAAGAGTCGAATTGACGAACCGTTGAGACATGATGAGCGGACAGACCTGCTGTCCTCATGGAATTAAGGAAACCGATGTTGTGTCCGAACGTGGCGCCACCAAACTCTAAGAAATAGACGCCGATTACCAGATGCATATTAGTGGTATTTCTTAGTCCGTAGCCTTCACGATTCTAGTGTGATCTAGCTCAAGAGTCTACGCATCACTGGAACAGCTGCAGAACGGGTCATTGAAAGATGCAAGAAGTCATGCTGCATCCAGTCATCCTGAGCTATCAAATACAAAGCAGAATACCGTAGTACCCCGGGGACCAGTGCAGACAATATTGTATGGACTTTATGAACAAGAGTCGACCACGACTATGAGACGAACGTAAGGTAGTAAAGGCGCTCGATTGTGGGCCAGCAACAATACATCGAGTGCAGGAAGTATGGGTGATACGAAACAGACAACGGTTATAGTGGTCGGGCGAGGGGATACCGCAGGGGCTAGGTAATGCAAACGGCAGGTAAGTACCAGAATGATCAAAATGTAAAGTCCTCGGAGCGCACTCGCTGTTAGGAGTGGGAATGATACATGACATCGATACAAGTCCACGGGAGCCAGAGGCGGCAAGCCCTTATTCAATACTCATTCGGTTCGGATGAGTGCTCATGGGACCTCGGTGGATGTCCTGCGATTTGCCGCGTCGTCGCCCTTGGTCAGAGCTCTTTGCCACTACAGTGGGCCAGTCAATAACATTCTACAAAATGTTCGAGGTACACTCACTCTGAGCTTTCAACCCTTTGCCGAAGTTGTTCATCACAATGCAAGCGAACACAGATGTCGAGAGGAGCAGAATGATCGCAATCACAGCTATGACAGGGTCAGGCAAACATCTCAATGATAGTGGAGAAGTGATCATACAAAATATTGCCAGGGTTCTCCAGACATCGACATACGTGCTTGTGTTGCGCAGCTGCACTACTTTGACCAGCTGCGAGAGTATAAGTCCATCAATTGCTTATCACGTCGGATTGTCTCAGAAGTGACGAACCTTGTATGTGAAATACACCATCGCACCTGCACAGCCCGTCATAAATGTCAACATCATCCATTTGTTTTCACGACGGACTGCCAGGTGGCCAATTATGAGTACCAAGAGAGAAACTGGGAACGCAGCGCAGGTGAGGTAATACTCGGCATTGTGTGCACTCAGAACTAGCCAAATGAACTGCACGGAAAATCCGATCCAAAAGAAGAGGTCGAACTTCATCAAGCAAAGGAAGATCTGGTAGTGGGCATACATCGACTTGATTCGACGATCCGCGCCGAGAAACTTGTAAACCTTCCAGCCGAACTCGGTATAAATCTTCCAGCCAAGTGTCATGTAGGCAATGTGAGCAACGGAAATGACAATGGGGATTATGATGGTAAGGGTATGGATCGAGATGCCAGATTGGACTGGGGGGTTGCCAATCTCATTGATCTCAATGATGGCGTAGAAGAGGAGGAGTGCATTGAAAATGCTGCAAAACATTGAGTTAAAGATGTCGAAACGGAAAGCAGAAGAATTACGTTAGGGCGATGAATTGCAAGGTGTTTCGTGCGTACACGGCATCCAAAGCCATGGCATATTGGAAAACGCTGCAATGAGTTAGCAACACATTCTCCAGCGAAATAAAATTGCAGGGCCATCAGGAGACTTACTGTGCGATGGCAAAGATACTAAGATAAACAGGCATCTTCTCTGATTCTTGGCTGTCACCACTGGTTGAGCCTGTCTGCCGAAGACGAAGATAAAGCTCGGCTTCAACTGCAAGGTCAATGGCTGTTTCGACAAGGACAGTCAGCAGATACAAGCGGCCAGAAAGAGAGTCTGGTATGAACTGTAACGACAGTCACGACAAAGTATGATCGAAGACAGTGAAGTGCGCACCATGGCGCGCAGAACCCCCCAAAAATTTCGCGAAGGTTTGTCCTGACCCTGCTCCAGGCTTGTTTTGGGAGGATACCCCAAGTCAAGGTGCTGAGGCACATGGTCATCAAAATCTTTCGCGTCTTTGAACGAGATATCGCTGTAGTTTGATTGTCGTGAAGCGAGAGGATATAGAGGAATAGGTTCGGGGTTGTGTTGGCGAACATCAGTGAGTGGACGCTCAGCAGAGTATGGCTTGTAGGACGTGGCATACTGGTCGATGAGGTCGTCGTACGGGGCCTTTGTCTCCTTCGGGGGGCATGGATGGGATTGGGCGGAGGATGGATAAGGATCGGGCTGAGCAGGGTGCTGCGTTGACATGGTGAAGGAATGAGGGAGTGCAAGCACAAATGCTTGACTTGGTCGTCCTGCGAGCAATGCGAGGGGGAAGGTCTGAGCGAGATGGAGGGTCGACGAAACTTGGGCAGAGCCAGCGCTCCCATCCAAGTCTTCGAGCCGCCCTCGCAACTGCGCCGGGCACTGTTTGCCGCCATTTGCTGTGGCTGCCGCCTCTCGGCCGGTTTCTGTCCCACCGTCAGCTCTCATTCCATTTGACTGACATCCCATCGCAGCAGTCATGGCGACTGTTCTCAGCCTTTCAAATTCCACCACTGCGCGCGCATGCTGATAAAATCTTAACAGCCCAACTCTCCAATCCATTCACTCACTGCTCAACTCGTACTTCGATTCGAAGGCATCAAACTCCCACTTTCGCGTACCTCGAACTTCGCTATCTAGTGTTGCGCTTGCAACGGTCCTTTTTGCCTAGGTTGGGTATCGAGCTGTCTCGAACATAAACCACTTGCCGCGCACAGGACTTCAAAGCGGTTGACTTGTCTCCCAAATTTCGGCTTAGTTCTTCGGTTGTGCAGTCTGGGCTCTTGGCATGAACCGCTCGATATATACGATCAGATCTCTGATGGGGGCAATGTATGTCTTCTGACCAATGACTGATACCTTTACCCCAAATAGTTTTATCCATTGACTGACAGGTTACTGTCATGAACACTGTATCCGTTTGCGTGCGCGCTCGGATGGTTTTTAATACTGTACCTCTTTGCCCACCTATATATATTTACCATGCATTGATCAAGAGTCAGGTATCAAGATGGCCTATCATTCAAGATAGTGTCAGGATTAATTTACTATCGTGGATCGCGCGCCGTGTGGATGTTTTCTAGCACAATTAGGGCCGCAGACTAGCGACAGATCGAGATCACCAACAAGTAGTATTGTACACAGCGGTATAGTCTTAGATAGATATCCGATGTTGTCGTCGACATGAAAAGAAGAGTGCTCGTGGTCCTAGATTCGAGGAGATTAGCATACAAGATGTGCAATCGACAGCGGTGAGTTCCGATAAAGACGTAAGGCGATTTCCCTGAGACAGGCAAGATGGCTAATGTGTCCAGTGAAGAAATGCTATGAACTATCTGTATCTGTGGAGGAACCAGTCTCTTCACCCTCAACATCTACGCATTGAAATTTTAGCGAAGTGTGTAAATCGAACTGAATAGCAGCTGACATACCGACGAGATAATCCGTCTCAGGCATCCTGATGACCGGTGGCGGAGGGGGACGTGGAGGGCTAGGTCTCTTGAGAGGCGCTAACGGTGCTTTGCCATTCTTTCCCTTTGGTTTCTGCACCATAATAGGAGGGATAGTAGGGCTTTGCATAGACGGCAGGGACGCTAGCGTAGAAACAGAGCGAGCAGGGGAGGAGAATCTTGACTCCGGAGATGATGAACGCTGCTCCCTTTGAATTGTTGAGACGATTGAAGATTCCCGCAGCTTGGACGGAATTCTAGATTGAGAATGTCCAGGGGGGACAGGTAACAGCTATAGCAAGCGGCATAAGCGTTGTGACGAATACCGCATGAAACGACTGTACATTATTCGATGAACCTGACGGATCAGGACCCTTGACCCGGGCTATTGGAGACCCTAAGCAAAAAAGATATTAAATAATTCCCGTATATATGTGGCAGACACAATCTTACCAGATGTTTTCGTCTTCTTATGATTCTTCACTGGAGACACGGACGGGGAGCCTGGCTGCATGGGTTATGTTAGAGTTGAAGACGGTCGTGTGGACGTGTACGGTATACGCACCCGTTTCCGATGTAGATTGAACTCGGCGTCATCTATTCGAGAAAGTTAGATTATCCTAGAAACGGCTGTTATAGAGACGAACCTTTGCGCTTAGCCTTCGATTTACCTTTGCCTTTGCTACTAGATGTCGTCTTGCCGTCGTCTGACATATTTCCGTTCTCCGAACCGACGTAGGGAGATGCAGACCTTCCTGTGTCGGTCACAAGCCTGCAAATACATCATGAATTTTATCAAGAAATTATAGTACTGAAATCGACATACTTGGTCTTGGTCGTGGCGTTGCGCGTAGCACCCCTTCGAGAATTACTTAGACCCATACAATCCCCCAGATGTGATGCATAGCGATTAAAGGCAACCTGACGATTAAATGAGCATTCCTGGCTGTGCTAGGAGGCTAACTAGCCATACTTGTCTTTTGCAAATGACGCATTCTAATAAAACGTTGCCGTTTGCCTTTCCATTCATCGGAGTACTTGCTCCCACACCCGACGGACTATTTGTACCTGCAAGCTTGGCGTCATCTAGGGGCGTGGACAACCGCGAGGACGATGCGACCGGCTGTGAGGTGCTGCTAGATGACCCGGGCACATGGACTGAGAACGTGGTGAGAGGGAAGAAATGATTTATATAGACAATAAAGTCTGACCTGCTCCACACCTGGACCGCACGGAGATATCGTTCAGACATATTATGCATGCCCATGTAGAAGTGACCTACTGCATATGGCACACTGGACATATACTTCGGGAGCGCGCTACCGCCTGATGTGACTCAAGCACAACATCCAGGAGAGCATCGTCCAGCATAGTGGAGAAGACCCTTGCAGCCTTCACCACGTCCGTTAGACTGCAGGACGACTTGGACGATCGAGAACAACTTACAAGCTCGGACAAGACCTCATCTCGCTCCTTCTTCGGCATTGAACCGTGAGCTCTCCGTAGCTAGCATGTACCCTCAGAGTGAGCCCCTTGGGTTGTATCCGGGGTAAGCAAGGAAGAAGGAGGCTCGCTGGTGGTGCGAACGGTCGCGACCTGCACGAGAGTCAGCTCGGAGCAGAGGGCACCGAGTGGACTCAACTACAGCCACCTATCTCCATATAGCACGTGATCCGATCGCACTCGCGGCTAGATCGCGGTCTTGGCGGTGTTGCAATTTCTTTAGTGAACTGGTCACTGAAATTGAAAGCTCAGTCTGCCAATGCTAACCTACAAGCTGCCTAAGTAGAAGACGACAATTACGACTTATCAGAACGTAGGGTAACAGACATCCAATAGTCCAGTCATAGTAATCATCATTGTCAATCTAAAATCGTGAGCTTGCATAACAGACGGGATGTTCAAAAAGTATACGACGTGACGTGTGCCAGAAAAAGTAACAGATGAACGACCGGATAATTCAGAAATCTACTTCATCTCGATAGTCTAGAGATGGTGAAGACGCCAAGAATCACCGCCGCAAGCGCACCTATGCTTGCCGGCAACAATAAGTCCTTTGGAAGACCCAGTATCTTCTCATCTTCAGCAATGTGAACCGGAAGGGGAGGATCAACGTTGACGGGCTCGGAAGGAACAGTCTCTGTTTTCTCAACCTCCTTCAGCTCGCGGTCTGCAGCCGCTGCAACCTCAGCCGCTTGAGCTGCACTTTTCTCGGCAATCGCATCCGCCCAACCCTTGCCACCTTGAATAAACAAGACGACACGGTCCAAACCCGCATTCCTCGCTATCTTCACAGCGTCTGTCACATCTGTGTCGGATGTTATTAACACAATGTCTCCATCCGCGTCGGTGTAAGAAAGGAGGAAGTCTGCGGGATCTGGAGGGGGATCAGATGGTTCGGAGGTCTTGTAGTTGGTGAAAAATGGATCGGTAGCGAGTTTCCCTCCAACAATCTCACGAAGGTTCTCCACATTGTCATGGCGTGCCTGGAACCTGTGTGTACGACCGCTGGGAGTGCGGAACTTGAAGACATAGGTTCCATCGTCGACAGGTGGAACGGCAGCTGTGGGCCCAACGATAGAAGGTAGCGGCTCTCCGCGTCGCCTGGAATATTCCTCAAGTGCGGAGTGATCATCGTCTATGGCAGAAGCGGAATCGTCGGGATGCACTTCAGAGTGAGGCGATTGAACGAAGTGGGAGACACTCCGGGATAAATGGCGTGAATGAAGATCCGTAGTGAAATTGGAGCCCGAGATAGCGGATTCTGCATCATCGCCGCCAAGCGACTCAAAGAAGCGACCCCACATGGGTCCTCCCTCAGCTTCATTAGCATCGGCATTCTCGGCTGTGATCGTATTCATCTGTAAACGTGAGATTGAGCGCAAAGCAAAGCAATCCAATCAATACAGCGGACCTGTTCAAGTGTTGCATATGTAAGTTTCAAAACATCAACGATGGCCACAAGTCGGCCATCGGTCTCGACAACCGGCAAGTTCAAATAGTGGCCATCTATGACGGGAATCGGTAAGCACAGGTGAGTAGACAAGGTCGACTTGCTACGTACTGTGCATTTTTTTGAGTGCGTCATGACAAGTCATGGTGGGAGGAGCAGTATCAGGATGAGGAGTCATGACTCTTACAACACTGCACCTGGTCGCGTCAAGCCCCGCAGCAATGACACGCAACACAATATCCTTGCTAGTGAAAATCCCGGCAATCCTAGGTAATTCGGCGCCCACCGTGCCAGGTGGATGGGATATGTTCTCCATGACACACACCGCAGTAGTGCGCCTTTCCTTCATCAGCTTCGCCACTTCTCGAACCGTCGTCTTCGGGCTCACAGTGGCAGGCTGTGTGCGCGAATCCATGACTGTAGTGAGGTCCGGCAGCGCCGTCTTCTCACGCAAAGCTTCCACATAGGAAAGCATTGCAGCCGCTTGCGGATTGGCACCCATGCCCGTGCCTAGTTCGGACTGCACACCGGCGAGAGCGGAATAAAGTTTTTCAGACGCGGACGAACTCCGCTCAACCTTGTCAAGGGCCTCGTGGAAGACCTTAGTGATATCCAACAGACCAACAACATTTCCCTCTTCGTTGCAGACAGGCTACAATACGGGCATGAGACACAAATACGCACGCGTCTGAACGAATAACGTACCAGATGCCTAAAGTGCCTCTGGACCATGAGCTGCAGGGCCTCGGTAGCACTCGTCGTATCGCGAGTCACCATCGGGCTACGTGTCATGATGGTACTGACTGGCGTCGTGTGGGGGTCCAGACCATCTGCAGTGACCTAGAGATCGGACGGTAAGCAGCAGTTGCAGTAACGACAAACAGTGTATGTGCAAGCATCGTACCCTGTATGCCAAATCTTTGGCTGTGAAGATACCACTGAGGCCCTCATCGTCGTCAACCACAAGGACACAGTCGGTTCGTTTGGCGGCACACAGTTGACTAGCCTCCGCAACAGTGATGTTTTCGGGAACCGTGAGAGCCGGACTAGGTTTCAACGCTGCAACAGTGCCCTTCTGAACATTCGGCTTGTGTCCACGCCTGCGACTAGGAGTGTGCTGCGTTGTCGAAATGGTTCGCTTGCGCGAAAGCTCAGATTCAATCTTCTTCCGGATGGCCTGTGGAAAGCGCTGCACATCAGTACGAGAGTTCTGACGCGCAGGAATGCGACGATGAGATATAGGACTGGAAGTCGAAAATGCGCGGTCCACGACTGGGGTGATCGTTGAAGACATGTCTGTGCGCCGAGTACACGTGTAAACCGTGCGTTTTCAAAGGCAGACACCTGACACGTCTCGGCGCATAACATTCCTCATTGCGAGGAGAGCATGTACTTACCTCGTCTCTCTTAGACTGCTTCTTCCTGGTCTCTGCCATGGAGCCGGAGACGGAAGACATAGCGGTGGATGGCTGGCGTCGATGCAGGCCACCTGGGAGAGGTGAGCTGGCACGCTCCGGAAATGGGATGGGTGAGGTTGAAGTTGGATGAGCGCCTGCGCTGCGATGGCTAGAAGGAGAGTGCGAGGGCACTGGAATACGTGACATAGAACGTTGAACACGTCCAACTCAGAGCTAGCGAAAGCCCGACGGAAGCCACCCGTTCGAATACGGCCTACTGCTGACCGCACATATTTGGCCCTGTTTGATATGCGGCGCCACACACACAACTTCAAGCTCACGACGGACGACAAATTCAACTTCAAGCTGAACATAGTATGCATGTACTACAAGCGAAATATACACTAAAATTTGACGCAGGCTCGATGTGGACATCGACTTGGGGAGGAGCCGTCAAGTTAGGTCCATACTTGAATACAGATCATTGACGACTCACCGACGCATCATCCTATTCCGATTCCGAAACTCCATATTACCTATGCTTCTTTGCGCTCTTCTTGTTACCTTGCGCAGAGGTGTACCAATAATATGCTCCTCCAGCAACCAAAATGACAACGAAATGGGCTGAATGATTGCGGTCAAATATTGCCCTCAAGCAGCACCACCCTGCCCTCACCTGCTACAAAGCCAATTATACCACCAAACAGTTCCGTGCCAAACACGACAAACGCCTGCACTAGTTGCAAGACACTGCCTAAGAGTTCTTCTCCCAATGCGAGAACAGCCTGGAATACAACGAAGACAGAGTTGAGCAAGGACGAGCCGATGACGGCAAGAGATTGTACAAAGTTGGTAACCGCAGCTGTCAGGGAGGACATGGTGTAGGTTAGACGAGTGGTTTCTGTTCGCGAGTGACGACTCAAGCTTAAGAACATGGCTCTACGTTCAACTCCACAAGAATTGACGCGTGACGTCATAGAATAGAGTCACACACGGCGAGGAAAGCATCAGAAACTTGGATTGTACGCAGCGAATAAACATTCAAAGCGATACCGATAATCTAAAACTATCGTCCACCTAGCGCACGGCCAAGCACATTTCATCGACGCACCAGCAAAGCAAAATTTAACCATACACATATACATCACTGCCTCCTTGCACCGTTCTGAGGCGCCAGAACAGATCCCGCCCAACGCGAAGTGATCATTTTGAACTTGTCCCAGACCATTACGACCATCGGCGGCACACCCGGCTTGCGAACGTAGTCCTCTACGCGGGCGGTCACAACTGCAATGGCGTTCTGCGTGAACTTGGACTGGTAGTACCGAGTGCGTAAGAAATGCGCATAAATCAAAGGAGACAGTAATGAGTTTTGGAAAGTCAGAGCACCCAGAGTGATACGGAGCATGATGAGCAACTCAGTGAAAGCAACAGCCTTCATAGCAGTGTCATAGTTCGCTTTAACATGTTCGCGTCAGCTGGTTTCCGGAAAGGGGAACTAAGGTAGACTAACCTTTCACCCAAAGTTGCAACTTCTTTGCCAAAGGATGGGGTGTAGGTGGTCCACCAGCGGTAGCCGGTGGGCCTGGTGGAAGAAATTGAGACATCAAGGTCGTGCGGGTGAACGTCAGGGCATGGAAGAGGGAGAAGATGGCAAATGGCACCAAAGCGACTAGACCAAAGTCAAACAGCAGATTTCACAGTATATTATTAGGAAGACATACGAGTGATTGGCTTTGAAGTCCACCAGAAGAAAGCGAGTAACAAGTACTGTACGTTCTATGGAGCAATTGGTCGTCAGTTTATATGCGTACAGTAATGCAAGGGAAACTCGCTCACCTCATCGGCCAATGCTCGGTTCAGCCACTCAAGATTTGGCTGCGGGGTCTGCAACGATTCGGCGTATCAATGACGAAAGTGCCAAACGCAAAAGCGCGCAATTCCTTACTCCTAGAGACTTTCTGTAGACAAAAAAGGTCAGGACATCCAAGAGATGTAATACTTTAGAGTGTAGCACTTACTTGCAAACAATTGCATAGCTGGCAATCGCGCCGAGGAAACTCACTGCACGTTGCCACCATCAGGTAAGTCGGACCAAGAGTCGAAGGACTCCACAAACGTCACTCACACTTATACCACCACGGAGACACGCCCCTGAACATGACCACAGCCAGAAAGTAGCGCAGCGATGCTAGCAAGAGGATGAAGTGGCCAGCGGCCCACATGTAATGCTGTCCAGAGCGAGATGAGTGCACGCGTCCAAGCGCATCTTGCGCGCAGATGCAGCCAGGACACGAACCTGAGTGGTTGCCATTACTGCTGCTTAGCGAAGCTTGAGGAACGGCGAGGACGACGAGAGGAGACGTGGACGACGTAGCGTCTGCGCGCAACTTTGAGGTGTGGATAGGGCGCTTGCTAGAGTGACGTACTCCACGTTGAGCTTCAGGGCAGGCCCGGGCCTCTAGGCGAAAATGCCAGGCGTGCGCGCGGCTCCTCGCACGTTGCGCGTGCATCGCGACCGCCGCGCAAACTCGCCTCGTCCGCGCAGCCACGGGCATCTGCGGGTGTGGTACAAGGTATGCACGTATACAGCAGATGTGCACACATGTAGCAGTCAGATGGTACAAACAATGATTAATGAAGGCAAGAGCAAACAAGCACGCATTGCTACCGACTCCATTGTGCGTTCCCTGGCCCCTTGAGCTTCTTCCTCTCTAGGCCTTGCTTGTAGACCTCCTTCTCTACTTTCCGCCGGCCGAGCGTCTCTTTTCGCCTCTCCTTCCCATTTCGCCTCTGCCACCTAGGCTGCTCGTCCTCACCACCCTCTGCATTTGCCTCGTTCTCGCTCGCATCCTTATCGACAGCATCAATCTCCTCCCACTCTTCGTCCTCCTCGTCGTTTTCTTCTCGTCTCCGCTTTGTCCCTGTGCGTCCCGCTCCACCTTGTCCGCCGCCAATGTTCACATTCACCCGCGGTGGGACGGAAAATCCGAATGACTTGCCAACCTTCGCGAGATCAAGCTGGTTCACATCAAAGATCTTCTTGAGTGAATATGACGCATAGGCTTGTAAGTACGATCGATAGCCGTCCCGCGCGGATTGGTGCAGGAAGTAGTTTTTCTGTAGCAGCTTCTCCAGCTATATGCATGACATGAGTACCATGGACCATGAGCGAGCAGGCGCAATTACCTGAGACTGCACATTTGCGATTTGGTCAGCCGGGAAACTGAATTCATTCAGCGGCACCTTTGCATCCTTCAGATACCGTAGGAAACCCAATTCGCTCGGTAAGAGGAACATCAGACTCTTTCCCACCTTCCCTGCACGGGCTGTCCGGCCAACACGATGAATGTAGTCGCGTGGGTCATCTGGCGGGTCGTACTGTATGATCCAATCCACACGAGGAATGTCTAATCCTCGTGCGGCAACATCTGTACATAGCAGTGTGCCAACTTCGGCGTTGCAGAACTCGAAAAACGTGGTCGTACGTTTCTGCTGTTTTTGCTTGCCCTGTGTGCATAATTGAGCACACGTCCACGTTGTAGTAGCGAATAGGGGGCATACGCACGTGAAGATCAAGGACCGGCACATCAATGTAGTTCAGCAGTTCCGCGTGGTACTTGACAGAGTTGCAGCTTGAGAAGAATACGACAATTTTCTTCTTCATATTCCGTTTTAGAAAGGTGAAGAGCAGGAGGAAGCGTCGATCGGATGGGCACACAACATAACCTTGTGATAAAGTTGAAACAGTGCTTGTACGCTCAGTCTTGTCTACATCAATGTAGAGAGGTCCTGGGCGAAGCGACATTCTTGCAAGGTCAGTGACCTTGGTAGTTTGTGTAGCAGAGAATAGCATAGATTGTCGATTCTCTGAATAATAGAAATAAGACAGTTATAAGGCGTAGGATATAGATCAGAGCGAACCATTTGGCAGAATAGCAATGATTTTCTTCATTTCTTCCTCGAATCCGACCTCCAATATCCGGTCCGCCTCGTCGATCACCAGACCCCTCAAATTCCGGAACACGAAGCCTTTCGTATTCTGTTCCTGGATGTGAGTATATGCACTACCATTCAAGCGGAATTACACGCCTCCAAATGGTCCAATAATCGCCCAGGGGTTGCTACAATGAGGCTCACGCCCTTCTGCAGTTTGTCTGCTTCTGCTCGTCGGTTAGCACCTCCCATAACAATTCCGAAAGTTTGCGAATGGTGCGCCATGAGCTCTTTCGCGACACCAAAGATCTGAAGTGCGAGCTCTCGCGTTGGTGAGATAATGATAATGCCGGTGCCTGCAATTGGGTATTTCCAGGACGCCCAGTATGAGATATCCAAACTCTTCCAGCATGTAACGGAACGTACGCACCATTCCGAGGCTTGAACTTCATTCTGTGCAGCAATTCGACTGCCGGGATTAAGAACGCCAACGTCTTTCCCGATCCTGTCCGTGCCGCACCAAGTACATCCTTTCCCGCGAGTAGAGGCGGTATTGACTTTTCTTGTACGGGTGTCATCGTGGTAAAACCCATCTCAGCGAGAGCTTTGCTCGTGGGTTCGGAGAGCTCGAGCTCAGAGAAATGTTTCCGCCCAGGAGCAGTGTCCGCGTTGGGCACCGGAGACGGCGCAGAGACACCCTCTGCTGCCATGTCAGATATATGCGTATTTTCGATGGACGCGATTTTAGTGGTGAAATCTCAAAAGCAGCAGTCCCCAATTTGAAGCAGCAGAGTGCAGTGAGATGGGCGCTTGAAGCACAAAATATCACCTCGCAGGTTCGGCGCTCATTTGGTCGGCGCTTGCCGGTGCGTCTCGAGTTATGTCCTCTTCGCTTTCGACGTCGCAAAGTGAGTCCTGTATTGTCAGGCACATAGCTCGCTCCTCCAAACTGATATGTTCTACATCGTGCTGAAATAGTTATCACTATCGTTGTGCTGGTTGCGACCTCCTTGGGCGTCGGTTACGCCATCGGCGCGAAGTCTGCCAGTAACGTCGCATCTCAAAATTCGCCAGCACCTCCGCCTCTCGTGATATCAGCACCGCCGCCGGCAGAGGACGATAGCGATCATGAAGAAGACGTGGCGGATGGAGATCTCTCTTCCGTTAAGCCAGGATTCCTAGAACCCTGCAAACTGGTATGTAGCTGTGATCTCCTCCGCGGGTCCATTCACAATATGGACCAGGTATTGGTTGTCCGTACGGACTTGGGTATGACTCCAGGGAAAATAGCTGCTCAGTACGAACCCCTGCCGGTGCTTTCCTCATCTGCGCATTGCTGATTTTGGTGATTAGATGCGGGTAAGCTGTTATTTCGCAGCTAGCGGGAGAAGGGGTCTAACGGCGGTGTATAGACATGCAACGCTTGCTTGCTACAAAGCATTAGTGAAAACTAACCCGCAGGTGGGGCTATAACGTGTGCATAGGAATATTTCTGATAGTAAATTTATTCTAGCTTTTGCAGCACTGGGAACGCACAGGGTGAGCAAAATGATTCTCGGGATGCAACAATCACATGATTACAAGCTGGATTTACAGTCAAGCCAAGATTGCATTAAAGGCGAGCTCCGAAGATGAGCTGTTGGAGCTGGAAGCAGTTGCAAAGAGTTTGAACCTCTGTGCGCGTGCCATTCATGATGCGTTCGTACCTTGTTATACCGTGGCCGAACTGTGTGTTGACCAGTACTATAGAGGTCGAACGCAAATTGCGGCTGGCTCTCGCACGGTATTGGGTATTGGACCCGGTATGTTTCGCTAGCTAATGTATGACGATGTGACTCGGCTGACAGGTGGATTTGAAGGGCCGGTGGAGTTGGTGAACCGTGTTACGGGAAAGTTACGGCTGTTATGAGGATGATGGGCCTGTTACCTAGTTGTGCGGGTCGCAGCTGCGCTGGTGTGGTCTCTGTTACTGTCTTGCGTGTTTCAATAACATAGATTTTCTCTGTGCCACGAGAGTGACTTTCGGGATGATTCTGGCTGCGTCGGCGGCCTGATCAAAGGAGTGACGTCAGCGTGAGAACTACCCCATATGGGCGTGCGTCGGGGCGACGCTGTCTTACGCTCCGTGTCAAGGAGCCTTGGTGGAGTTTGCCTGGAGCTCTGGATGGATGAATATCATACAGTACGCTCTGCTTGTCTATACCTGACCCAGTCTTGACCAGTAATTCCTCTCGATTCACGCATATCAATCTTCAACCATGACCAGTATTACTCTCGCTCGCGCGTACCAACAATCGTTTGAACACCACCCTTACGGCACCCTCGCCATCACCAATGGTGCACTCAATGCTCTTGGGGACATTATTGCGCAAATGACTGAAAAATTCGTACGCACCTCGTCTGATCCGTCGACATGCGGGGTGCTCATTCTCACTTCAGAGCGGCCCGCAGCGACGGCACTGGCAATATGATGTCTTGCGCACCTTTCGCTTCTTTGCATTTGGGGTTGGGATGGGTACGTTATGCCTTCATCTCCGTGGAACAGTCTTGTGCTGACACGCAGCGCAGGTCCACTTATTGGACGATGGAATTTCTTCCTAGAGCGTCATTTTCCGCTGCGTTTCCAGAGTAGTGCACTTGCTAGCAACACCGAGAGAGTGAGCATGCGAGCGTTATCGAAAAGAGTTGGAGCAGACCAATTGATCATGTGAGTGTCGCCACTGCAATATTCGCGGGTGATCCTCGCTGACCACTTGTGTGCTCGACAGGGCTCCTATTGGCGTATGTTTAGAATTCAGTAATGATATCAGGGTGGTTATCTGACCTTGTCATCATCGATTTACAGCTTAGCATATTCATCGGCTCCATGGGTATCATGGAAGGCCGAGATGGCCCTCACATACAACGAAAGTACACTGATTTGTTGGTCCCTGTGCTCATTACAAATTGGAAGGTATGGCCCATTGCGCAGGTCAGTCGATTTGTACACCATTGATTCGTTCACATGAGCCGCGCTAACTCCATCTACATAGCTGATCAACTTCCGGTACATGCCGCTGCCGTATCGTGTCCCCTTCCAGTCGACGTGTGGTATCTTCTGGACACTGTACCTCTCCATTCTCAATTCAAAGTGTGTCGGGTGAAACCTCGCCATGGTATATTAGCCTCACTGATTCGCTATGACACAGGGAGTCGGAGGTGCAGCAACGAGAAGACGCCTTCCGCAAGACATTGCATTAATTTATGAAGCAAACTAAAATGGAGAATAATTTGGAACACTCTCGGGGCCTAGAATTTTCCCAGCTCACTTTTACTGTAGCGGTAGTATCGAAAGCGCATCAATTAGTCTTACTCTACTTTTGTTTTTTTTTTTACATGCATAGAGGTACCAAATGACAAATACAATCGCGGATACACCAATGATTGGTCGAATGCTACAAGGATACTGTTCCTATGTTCTACCGTACTTAGGCTTGAAAAACGCCGGCGGGGAGC